TGGACTCATATCTAATTATATTCTATTTATTTGGGCTTTGTTGTCCTTTGTAATGTCTGACAATCGCTGCTTATCGCAAAAAATACACCGATTAGAGCTGGTTTTTATAGACTAAGATATTCATTTAGCAGAAGAGAAATTTAGTTCAATTTGAATACTGTTGAATACTGTCGAAATGAATGTGTTTTCTTTTGTCATTTTGAAGGTGTTTTTTGCAGATTAGTTCATTCGCTCGCCTGCTACCGCATAATCATCATTATCCACGAAGCTGTCTTGCTGCTCGAGGGCCTTCGTTGCTAACGGAGATTAGCCGCTGAAGCCACTTCATCGTGCTCTCCTCTGCTGATGGACACTTTAAGCCAACCTGAAGCCTGAGAACCTGAGAGCCTGAAAGCCTGAGAGCCAGGCCGAGCCGCATCGAGCAGAACTGGCGGGAAGTAGAGGGAACCTGGGGGGGGACAGTTGTAAATGTCGCAATCGCTGTCAAATTTGCCGAACGATGCCAGGGACACGCCGTGATTGATGATGATGTGCGTGCTCTGCTTCCTCGCCGGAGGAGGAGCCGGAGGAGGAGCCCATAATAATTAGCCCAGCTGGAAGCCATGCCAGTGGCTGGCTGAAAGGTTGAAAGCTGGAGAGCAGGATAGCTGGAAATATTCAATTGAAGCAAAGTCAGTGTGCAAGTCATATGAAAATTGATCTTTATTCGATGGGATCAGCGTGAGAGTCTCAGCGTTTGATGGGAGCACAGATACTAGATGCCTTGGCTAATTGATTGATTGATTGATTTGGTAGGGGTTGAGAGAAAGCTCCATACGTTTGGTCCACAATTCGTTGACAATTCCGCACCATAAGTCCAAGAGGCAGAGAGGCAGACAGGCAGAGACGCCCACACACATACTGAGTGGTACAATTAGGACGCAATTCAAACAGCCAACAGGCAGACATGTCAAAAGTTGGTTTATTGGTTTAGCACATACAGGAAATGGCAACGGCAATGGCAATGGCAACGGCAATGCTAGCGAAACAAAATCAAACCCAATGAGAGGAAAAACCCGAAAGGCTAGACAAAAAAGTCTCAGAAATCAATGAATGATGCCCAGAAAGAGGAATAGAAAGAGAGTAAGAGAGGAGAACTTGGTAACAATCATCCTTCCAATCCTCCCTTGCCACCCTATCCTGCCATCTTCGGTCTCCCGTCTGCCAGTCTGGCGCTGGGCATGTGCAGAACATGCGGCCTGTGACCCGGCATAGATGCCACTGTCCGCATGTCCGTGTCCGGTCCGTCAGAGTTCGAGTCCATGTGGCTGTTGTCTGTTCTCTGTCTTGGCCAACACGCAGAGCCTTGGCCACACCTACACGGCATGGCTACGCCCACCAGAAGCAGCAAAAAAAAACAAAAAAAAGCGTCCCACTAACTGATTAAATTTATGCGCTCTTTGCATACGAATGCCAGAAGGCCATGAGCATTAGGCCACAAACAAGAACAAAAGTAAAAGAACAAATTAGGCAAAGCCATTTGCAGAACGAATGAATCGAATGCGAAGGCCTGGCCTGGTCTGGCCCCGGATAGTGGATAGTGGGTGTTGGGCAGAAACTTATACGTGATCCAGGCAATCATTCTTAGAACTGTGGTAATTGTGATTTATTTGATCCTTTCTTTGCCTTTCACAGTCACAGTTCAAGGCTTGTCTCGTCTGCCCTCTCACGTCCATCAAAAACTTTATTTTCCAATCCCAACTGCTATCATCTTTCAATCGGAAGTAGGTCTATAGCTAATTTCTCGAACAGTAGATGTTGGGGGATATCCTTTAGAGATCAGATCCAGACCAAAATGCACTCGGAATTACATTTTCTGTTAACCAATGACCCCGAATAATACCAACTTATCTGTGCTATTCGCACACTTGTTGCTCCAGCTCTCTCCCTCTCCCCGGCGGCAGGTCCTGCAATTGTCGCTCGTCAACTCTCGAAAATAAGCCGCACACCAGACGGCCCGGCCCCGGCCCCATTGTGTGTAAACCAAGCGCACAAATAATATGGCAAAAAGGGAGCCAAAAAATAAATGTAAACTCAAGAATGGAGAATACAAAAATTACCCAACATGCTTATAGTGGGCAATTGTTGTTCGCTGGCTTCAAATATGTTTGGAGCATGCGGTGGGGGGTAGGGGAAGGGGGCCTCTTGGCCTCAAGTATTTGCAAAATAATAAGCAGTACGACGAAAGTATTCCAAAGAATTGGGCGTCGTAGCAATAACAATAATAGGAGCCAACAACGAGAGAACATAAAAACAGAGCTCAGAGACGAGTGGAGAGGGGTGTGGTGGGGTGGGGAGGGGCGGAGTGGAGCAGGCAAGGAACAGAACAGGAACAGACAAGAACAAGGCATGGCGAGGACAAGACAAACAAGGCGTAATTGTATGCCACTCTCGCTCTCACACACTCTGACACAAGTGCCTCGTACCTCTCTTTAGTGGCACAGATGTGGATGTGGATGTGGATGTGGATACATAGTAGCATACACAATAAATGGTGTGTGTGTGTGTGTGTGTGTAGAGATATATGTATAATATAAGTCACGTCGAGCATATCAACATCAACGGCCACAAAGCGCAGCATATCAATACACATACATATGTGCATATTGTACATAAATACCGGGTGTCCCGGGAGCAACGCAGACTCGTGCAACGCGACAGAATGCTGAGAGCCCACAGATGGAACTACAGCATACCCTGGCCGGATCTCACTTCGAATCTATGGCCAAATATCTCTCTAAATACCCCCCATAAAAATTAATAAAACGATTAAGCCTTCGATTTTGCAGAATGTGAAAAAGTGAATCCCACTTGGAATGGTTTCCTAAGGAGTCCCGATTTTAATCGAATTTATCTGAATTTTCAGGGAATACTTTTCGCATTAGAGAGTGTATAGAAAATAGCCACAAAATATAAATTATTATGTAAAAGCTTGATCTTTAAACAGGTTCGTTCCCACTGCAAAACTGAAGGGTCTCTGAAGATTCTCTGAGCGCGTTTGCTGACTAAATCCGTGCCCAATCAGACATGGATATATGGCTTATATGAACTCAATTAGTAATGCTGATCTGATCAATAATATTTTACCTACCTGGAGCTGGGGGGATATTATATAAACGAAACGAAATCAAATGAAATGATTTTGATGGGTACGCCAGGGGGTGTGCTATATAAATTTGATGGCTTTTCTCCAATTTGATAAATGGGGGTACCCTGTATGGGGGTTAGGGGACTCTCATGCCACTCAGCCACCCACCGACCCACCGACCCATTGTTTTGCGGCTCCTTCTCTTTGGCCTATACTATTGCCTTCTCTATCGCCTTGTCCCCCTCAGCATCGCAACTCTTCCTTGTGCTTGGGCTTTTGTCTGAAGACGAATGTCACTTCCACGCGACTACCGTTGTGTTCTCTTCTCTCTTCACTCTGTTTGCTGTGGCTGTTGCCGTTGCTGTAAGTGGGGCTGTGGCTGTGGCTGTGGGCTGCGGCTGTCCTGCGCTTCGCTTTCATTTCAAGCTCGCGCCTGTCATTACTTGGCAATGCCAGACAACGGCACAAGCCACGGCCAAAGCGGGCACCAGAAGCCAGAAGAGAAGAGAACACAGCAGAAACAAGAGCAGAACAAGAACAGCAACAGCAACAGTTGTGCCCATTGTAGTGTATTGTGTTGGCATTGCTGTTTGCTTCTTGTTATTGTTTTCCATTTCGATACCCTCCATCCAGCGGGTGTTACAGTATTCCCATGCGAAGGAGAACAAAAATGCAGCTGGATATGCCCGAAAGGTGAATCCAAATCGAATTTAACCTAAGAGCCCTTCATAGCAAGGTCCTAGAAGGCGCTTTGCAGAAGGAAAGATTCGTATAAAGCAAAGCCTTTAAAGGGGGATCCTTTAAGGAAGTGGAAATAAGAAATATACCCCTTAAAAGGTGAATCGATTGGGGACAGAGGATCCACATCAGGCAGTCGTATATTCAATAAGGGTATCCCCATATTCGGTTTTGATGGCAGCCATAATCATTCCTTTCTTGGTTCTTGGTTATAACCATTTTTATGTGCTCGAATTGCTGATGGGTTTTTGTGCTGTGGTTGGGGTATTTCTGGTCTTGTGATTGGGAATGGTATTGGTGTGTGTGTGTGTGTGAGGGGGGCCTTGATGGCTTTTGCTTTTTGCTTGCGTGGTCTTTCAACTTGTTGCTTTTTTTTATTGCAGCTCATACGAGGACGAGCAGCTCTCTTGTACACTCGTACAATGTCGTACAAGTGTGTGTGTGTGTGTCTGTCTGATTTTGTGCGGGTTGATTCAGTGGCAGCTTTAACCTTTCACCCTTGAAGCAACAATGTACGGCAGGGCCAAGTAATCAAGCTAACCGTTTCAGTGCATTCCAAATGCCCCGTTAAATTCATTTTGTTCGCCCCCACCTCCACCTCCTCCGCCACCGACTTTGCTTTGTGAAAGGGAGGTCCTGTAACCTGTACCGTGACTGCCAGGTCAAATTCAATTTGCAAATGTTCCAGCAGCAGTCTCCTGTTCACTTTTCTCTGCATTTTATAAGGGCCACAGTTTGAGCCACTTAATATTTTTGCAGGAAATGCGTTGCTTTGTGGCGAAAGATCATCTTGGGTTACTTGCTTTAAAGGCTGGAAGCCGATTCCAAGCCCATGAATTGTATAAATTCCATTTAGATGTCATCGAAAACCCTTCGATTCTCGGAATAAACCCAACGGAGCTCAATATTTCAGCTTTTTGCTCCGATAAACGATCCCAAAGAATTGATTATTTTTTTAAAGCATTTCTAAACCATAGCCCAGGATACATATTTAATTACTGAACATTGACATACACAAAGAGGGGTACAACAACAAATTGGAGCTTCCAGCGTGCGGGGGAGCCTCGTCCTCATCGCTATTGGTATCGGTATCGGTATCGGTATCGGTATCGGTTCCGGTTCCTGTCCGTCCTGTCTAGCCCCTGTTCCTCCTTCTGGCAGCCCGCCTTCTGGCAGCCCTCCTTCTGGCAGCCCTCCTCCGACGACGTAGCCGGGCCTTGCGCCTGGCAGCGGCACTCTTCTTGCTGGAGGAGCTGCTACTGTTGCTGCTGCTGCTGCTGCTGCTGCTGGCGGCTGTGGTAGCATCGTCGCTGCTGCTGCTGCTGGCCGAAGTGGTGGCCTCCGGGGTGGAGGCGCTGGTGGTGGTGGTGGTGACGTCGGCGGCGCTGGCGCTGGTGGTGGTCACAGTCGCTGCACCGGTAGTGGAAGTGGTACTGGTGCCGGTGCCGCAGCTGATCCGCAGCGAGCAGGCCAGACAAACGGCCAGGAGCAGCCAGTGAAGCTTCATACTGGCCGAGGACTGAGGACTACTTGGCTCGGGATAAATTCAGTGGAAGAGCTTTAACTCTTCTCTGACGTTTTCAGCATCCATGCCGCCCTATTTATATCACTCGGCAGCGACGCACTTCCTGCGTCACGGAGCCGGTACAATTGCGAATACCAAAAAAAGACAAAAATACGTCAAAGACATAAAGCAGCCAAACACTACGCTTATTGAAATACTGAAATATTTGCACAAATGCCAACTATTTGCCCACGAGAACAATTACCAGTCAAGCAAATGTCAAACAAGCGATCCCACAGCCCCAGACGATCTGATAATAATACTTGCCGAATTCTACACTCCATAGAGAGACTCTATTTGTGTACATCCCGGCCGCGGAATCTTCATTCATCGATCCGAAGCGACTGATCTGATCGCTTCGGTGGCTCATCGATTTCATTCATCAATTGCCTCTTGGGGCTTGCGAGCTGTTCGGGCTTGTTCAATATTGACACTCGTATAGCTGCTGTTTAGACGAAGGCCGATCCACAAACAGATCGTGCGATCATTGTTCTGCTCTCTGGGAATACCAGACAACTAAATGGTGTTATATATGTGTATAGAGATACACAAACCCCAGGTGTAGCAGACGACAGGCAGACCCGAGAGTCTGCCAAAACTTGTGTGGCAGCTGCCATCGACGATTGATTCCCATTCCATCTCTTCTTGATGTACAAGGACTTCCTTACCATTACAGGGAATGATCTTAAGGAATAGTCCATGACCAATCTGGAACCAATTTGGAATCTATCAATAAGAAAGAGTTGTGCTAGTGCTGGTGTGTTCTGAGGATATGCGTACAAATGCCTTGATCTTCGACTTTGACACCAGCAAATTACAATTGTACAAATAGAATATTCCTGAAAAATAAATATGTACAAATAGGGAATCATCCGACACTGTTCGATAGCAGAACTATCGGTAACAGAACAGCTGGCCACCAAATGCCATCACCAAGTCGAGGTAGCATCTCTGAAGCACGGCTTTCAATTGAAACCGAAATGTAAAGCCAGGAATAACCATGCAAGACCAACTCTCCCTGAAAACACCGGACTTTGGGCCACAAGTCCGTAGCCTTTTGAATGGTGTGGCCACCAAGGATCAGACCTGCCCCGGATTTCATCCCGAAATGTGCTGAGACATTCTCAGATGTTTTTTTTTTTTGTATAAAAGTAGACGCAAATTGCAGGGAAACCAAGTTTATTGATGCCTTCTTCTTTGCCGAGTGGTATTTGCAACAAAATGTTGATCTGAAGAAAGTGAAAGCTATTGTGGTCTAGACCGATGTCTGTTCTAGCACTTTGATAATGGGTTTTTTTTTGCTGCAGCTCCTTGGCCAGATGCATGATCCCTCTTTTCAATATCACCAAATTCGCTTCGAGGCTTATGTCCAGCGAAAATAAGTTCGTGGATGGTCTATGGCGTTCCCGAGTGATGCAGTCATGGTGGAAACCTTTCTTCAGACGTGTGATTTTCGCCAGAAACTGCAGGGTCTCCGGGTTGGTTACTTCTGTTCGATTGTTCAGCCGATTCCTGAAACACACAAAAAACAAAACACAGACAAAACACAAAAGATGAGCAAGGTATATGGCCCCAACTCACTTGGGGATCCTCTGTGCAAATTTGCATTAGAATGCTTTTAGTCCAGTCCAGCTCAAAATTTGGTGATGAGTTAATTTTTCTCGAAAGAAAAAATCCCACAAATTTTAGTAGACTAAAAATTTGGGTTTTACATGCCGAAAGATGGTCTGAAGCACTAGAAAGTCGAATCTACTTCGATAACTATTTTCGTGTTTAAGTATTTGAAATTTTTGGAGGTTCGACCCAATCCTCGTTGGCGTTGAAGCAATTTATTACATTTCTCCCATTACTCTGCAAAAACCCCGCTTCACTTTTACCATTTGAGCCCAGGTCAGATTTGATTGGGCTCTGGTTCATCCTTTCTGGGAAACCGTACCCCAATCCCCCAGCTGCATCGCCATGGACATGATGGGGATGAGTCCCCATTGTGCGGCTTTTTGCACGAAAATTAATGACATTATTTTTGTATTTTTTTATATAGAAACTCGGTGTATCCTCGTATGTGTGTGTGTTTGTGGGGGGAGGTGGTAACTCCTGTTAATGCTGAGAGCAGAACAACAGGAACTAGATTTGTCCGCATCAATCAATAAAATAACTTGACACGAGTCGAGTCTCGCTGCAGCATAACTGGAGGCCATGGAAGTCGCTTATCAGGAGCACACACACATGTCCTTTGTTCGGGTGGGGCCAGGACGCAGGATGTCGAGGTTGTGGATGAGGCAGGGCTGCTGCTCTCAAATTATTTGCCATCAAAATGCTATTGATTTATTAATGCCGCTCATCATTCGACAAGTGGAGTCGAGTCGAGCCGGGTCGGGTCGGGTCGAGTCGAGTGCTTCCTAGGATGATCTGCTATCCCGCATCATGGACATTAATTTTGCAAATGTCTCAATAAAAATCAATAGCAAATACATGTATGTGTATGTATACCCAGCAGCTTTATGGCTCTATCCAGGCTATGTGGCATGCAACAGCGAGATTTTGCTATTAGAATGATTTCTTCCCCTTCTTCCCCAGCGAGAAGCCAGAGAGAAAGAGCTTCGATTTGGATTTGTTGTGAAAGTGTCACCCAGGAAATCACCGACTCTATCAGAAATATGCATAATTGAAGTCACCAGATGAAAGGAAGTTCCATCAAAAATGCATTCCGAGAAACGCACTTTGAGTATCTCAGGTGACGCTTTGGGCCCTAAGTAGCCAAATTAGTTATGCGAAATATTTAGATTCGTATGAATTATTTAGGAATTCCCTTCAGCATTTGCAGATTCACGTCCCAGCATGTCTGCTGTCTGCTTTTTGGGGGCAGGACACCATCCCCCGCCAATCCAACTATCATTCCAGCTCGTTGCCCCAAGACCTGTCAGAATTTTGGCATAGTTTTCGGCATACCTGGCGGCGACGGCGACGGCGATGGCGATGGCGACAGGCAGCTGCTCATTCGACTAGCAGCCCCGAAGCTATGCTCCAAAATTGTTCGAATAATTCATCGCATAATGAAAACAATTTCTCGCGTCCAGCTCCCCAGATCTCGCCGAGAGTGGCAGGCGGTTCGGTTGCTGTTTTCTCAGTGGTTTCGATGCTCGAAATTTTTTCGAGCACACCTCCTTTGTTATGCTAATCGTTGTTGCTGATATTTCTTAAAAATATTGCATGTCAAACACACACACACACACACACACACACACCCACATGACTGTGCGGTATCTATGGCAACTCTTTCGTGGCCCAAAAGTGCTGCCCGCCTCGGTTTTTGGTTGTTTTTGGAGTAGAAAGTTTTCACTTATTTCGTTGCCTGTAAACTGATGTTCCCCCCCCGTGGGGGTGAGGCGTTTTGCGGGTTTCGTGGGTTCGACTCTTCTGCTAATGGGTTTCCATGGAAACTGAAGTTTGACAGCTCAATGCATCGAAACATAAATAAATAATGTTCATTTTTAGAAGTACGCATTTCTCACTCCCAGCAGCCAAAGACTTTTCTACATAAATACTTCAAAAGAGGTCCTCCCCAGAGCCAGTGGAACCTGGGCGGAAGGAAAATAAGATGGGTGCCCTTCGTGATTATCGCCCATTCAAAGGCGACATCCTGGCATCCATATGGACGCCTTCTGCCAGTTCCCCAAGAACTATATTACTTTGTTATCAAATTTTATATTTGCCTTAAGCTTAAGGAACAGAAATATACAACGGAACAATTAAAAGCTAACAAAAATATGATTTCTTCGGGACTTCGTTTGGGTCAGCATCAGTATCGGAATCGGTATCATTAGGCATCCATTCGTGGCTCCATTTACGGATTACATTTGTGGATCTAAAGTCAGACCTAGCCTAGCCACTCTTGTTGTCCTTCTTGTTCCTGTTCCTGTTCCTGCGGCGGATGGACCTCTTCTTGCCCTTGTGCACCTTCCTCTTCCAGTGGCGCTTGACCTTGGTCTTGCCCCCAGATGATGAAGAAGGTGCGGCAGTTGTGGCTGCTGAGCTTGTGGCGGCGGTAGTTGTGGTGTCGGCGGTGGCGGCAGTCGTGGTGGCGGATGCAGAGGTGGTGGTGGTTGTGGCAGTCGCCGCGGTTGTGGTGGCTGTGGCAGCCGCCGCGGTGGTGGTTGTCGTGCCGGTGCCACTGGTCTGTCTGACCAGGACACAGCCGAAGAGGGCCAGGAGGAGGAGGACGCAAGAGTACCGCATGTTGGTGATAGTTGGATTGGCTGACAACTGATGCTTTTCCAGAGACCAAATCGGGGCTTTTATAGCCGAATAGATCTGCTTTCTAGATCAGTTTCCAGCCGAAGCCCCTTTGGGTTTATCCCGAATCTGGCACGCCTTCTGGGGCTGGCTAAATATAAAATGTGTCACCAATGCGAATACTTCGGTAACAAAGAGCGTTCTGCAAAAACAATAATTCGCAAATTTGCTCTTACGCCCGAGGCAACTGTTCAAACACGAGAGATTTCTCTTCTGTTTCTATTTTCCGCCACACTTCCAAACAATGATGAACTCGTTGTGTTGCTACTCCGATTTGAATTTTAGGTTCCATTCTCTCTGGTACAGACAGCTTCCGCGCCGGGGTACAATAAAAGGCAGTCGAATCTCCCTAATTGTCATCAGTTCTTCAAAGCAATCGATCCATAGACATGCGGTACTCTTGCGTCCTCCTCCTCCTGGCCCTCTTTGGCTGTGTCCTGGTCAGACAGACCAGTGGCACCGGCACGACAACCACCACCGCGGCGGCTGCTACAGCCACCACAACCGCGGCGACTGCCACAGCCACCACCACCTCTGCATCCGCCACCACGACTGCTGCCTCCGCGACCGCCGACACCACAACTACCGCCGCCACAAGCTCAGCAGCCACAACCGCCGCCCCTTCTACACCATCTGGGGGCAAGACCAAGGTCAAGCGCCACTGGAAGAGGAAGGTGCACAAGGGCAAGAAGAGGTCCATCCGCCGCAGGAACAGGAACAGGAACAAGAAGAACAACAAGAAGAGTGGCTAGGCTAGGACTGACTTTAGATCCACAAATGTAATCCGTAAATGGAGCCACAAGTGGACACCATAATGATACCTACCAATTCCGATACTGATTCCGACCCAAACGAATTCCTGATAACTTAATTTTCTTATTTTAGTTAATATTTTTTGAATAGTTTTAAGGCAATTAAAAAATTTTATTTAATTTATTTGATGGCTCAACATGAACTCTGTCAGAATATCAAAGTGTGTCGTGGGCTGGGGCTGGCTCTGTTGGGTATGGCAAGTGTTGTCTATCCCGCAACTGGGCCACGTACAGATCCTGGCGAAAGCTCCCCTCAATGCCGAGCAAGGTATCCACGCGTGTGACCCCTGGGAAGCAGCTGCTGACCTTTCTGCCAGGCCTGAAATTGGCATTGCCGTCCTCTTTGGTCAAGCAGCTGCGTCTTGCCCCTTACTTTGGTCCTTATGGAGTAGAATGCAGAATTCTGGCGATCTCCTGTGAAATATATCCCGTATAGATCGGCTGCTTCGCTTTTGTTTCTACCTCAGAGCCCAACGGGTTCGATTCGCCCAGCGAATGATCTATTGAAACCAGAAACTCCCCGATTTGCCGACGGACCAAATATTGATGAAAGCTTTACCTGCACAAACCCGAACCCAAAGCCGGGCAATAGCACCGATCAGTGGAAGCAGCCGCAGCCATCATTTGTGGCTTGTGCCACCCTTTATTGCTTGTGGATTGCCTAATCCGTAAGCCTTTGTGACTTGGTGCTACTCAATGGCAATTCAGCCGCCAAAACGGGCTTACTTCAAGCAAAATGGGAATGCAAATCCCCCAAAGGCTGGCTTGATCTGTGGCATGTGGCCAGTTGAGCCACGGACAACTGTACACATTTTCAATTGATTAAACCACTAACCATACAGTATATATATATGTATAGTGATTAATGATTAAACTAATTAAATTCCACGAATGGACAGTGTTGGAAGCTTTCGGTAGTGCCAGCCAATTGGTATCGATTGAGTACGATATTGTTCTTATTTTATCTTTAATCATCACCAACAGAATTAAATTCGTGGTTTCTTTCATTGAAAAGTTTTATTCTAACGAAGTCGTACAGTTTTATTACATTTTTATTGGCTATTCACCATATGGTGGCTTTCGATTTATTTACCTTTTTTTTGCCGATACTTAATCGCTTAGTGTGACCGCAGAATGCACGGGAATTGAGGTTATTGCTTGTACTTTCTGTATGAAAAATATTCATATGGATAATAATTTATAGATATATTTTCACCGAGTTACGAAAAAATCTAGAAATTTGATCACATAACTTTTGTGTCAGCTATCTGGGCCTGGGGCTTCCGAAATACAGTCAATGCTCAGTGTTGGTCCGAGAAACATCGGCAGGAAAAACATCGAACTACTAGGAAATCGGTAACAATCGGAAAAATTAACGTCTGGCACTGTAAGTGTTAAAATTCAACTATATTCACTCTCGTATAAGTTTCTATCAGAATTTTATTTCGGCCAGGACAACACAGAAAAACTAAATGCAATGACGGACTTCTGCTTTGATATTAAGCCTCTGTTCCCAGAGGCGATTATAAAAGTGTCGTCGGACCTGCTGCCGCAGAACTTTTCCGGCAAGCGTTTTATGTGCGCGGACGTTACTTTGAAGATGGCGGAGATAATCGACCGTATGGGCCAGCTGTCGGCCACAGCCCAGGACCTCATCAACCCGGTGACGACGGCCCAGCGCCTGGAGAAGAGCGACAACCAAACCGTGTATCTGATGGCGGATGGAAAGGAAGGAGCCAACGGAGTGGTCGTCGGGCTGCTGAAGGTCGGCACCAAGGATCTCTATTTGTACGACGAGACCGGCCAGGTGCACAAGGTGCAGCGGGCTCCGGCCGTCCTGGACTTTTATGTGCACGAGTCCCGCCAGCGCTGTGGCCTGGGCAAGGAGCTCTTCGAGGCCATGCTGGCGGAGGAGAAGTGGACCCCGTCGAAGCTATCGGTTGACCGTCCGTCCCAGAAGCTGATACTATTCATGGCCCGCCACTACGGCCTGGTGCGCACCATTCCGCAGGCCAATCACTTCGTCCTCTACGAGGGATACTTTCATGGTGTGTCACCCTCGATGCCCCTCCTGCAGGCCACCAAGAGCGTCCCAGCCATTCTGGCCGCCGGCTCTGAGAGTCAGCACACCAGTGCCATGACGTTCCATGTCGGGGAGGCTAACTACAGGAAACGCCGCCTCCAGGACCCGCAGCAGCAGAGCTGCTCAACCACGGACCTACTGTCGTCCCGCTGCAACAGCGACTGCAGCATGGCCGAGATTATTCAGGGCTCTCGGGCCAGAGGCACCAATGCCAGCCACGCTGCCGACGGACAGATAAGCGGCACGAACGTACGCCACACATAAATCGCACACACCACAGTCCGCATGGATATGTGCGACACACCAGAAGACGGCAGACAGCAGGCAGCAGGCAGCAGACGGCAGACAGCGCCTAAACAACTGAGCATTAGCGTTTATCATTAGTTATTACATTATTAAATATGTGTGCATTTTGGTAGACCTTTGTTACTTTTGTTTTACAAGTAAGTCGGGCGATTCCCGATCCGCGCTCGAGACTATGCAACACAGTCCCCGGGCCGTTCTCGAGTCGCGCAGCACCCAGTGGTAGGCCACAGACGATTCCGTTCCTTTGGTGTGTGTTCGAGGTCGTTTCCCGAACTTTGGCAGCTGTATAGCCGGCAAAGACAGACCACTATATTTGCGAATTCTTTGTCTTTTCCTTTCTCTCCGGAATGTGTGGCGGCGAATGGCAACGGAACAAAAGGTTCGCAAATGCAAACACAATTGCAGAATCACGCTGCGGGGTATAAAAAGCCAGTCTTTTGCTGGAGTTTGGCAAAGAGCTCTTGCAATCGCCATCATCATCATCATGAGATACCATTGCGTTTTGCTTCTGGCAGTCCTGGCCTGTGTCCTCATCGGGCAGTCTTCGGCAGCGTCGTCGACGACCACGACCACGGGAACGGCCACAACAACAACGGCTGCAACTGCCACAACAACAACAACGTCGGCAAGTGCCACAACCACAGCAGCAGCCACGACCACAGCAGCAGCCACGACCACCGACGCCACCACCACCACGACCGCCGCCTCCACCAGCGGCAAAAAGAAAAAGAGGATCGTGAAATGGGTAGAACACCGAAGTGGTGGCAAGAGGAGCGGGAACAGGAACAAGAGCAAGAACAAGAGCAAGAAGAACAGGAAGGTCAGGAGGCGTCACCATCACCGTGTCTCGACCACCTCTAGCAGTGCCATTAGCAGTGGCACCTCATTAAGGCGCCGATCCCTCTCCAACCGCAGGAGGAGCGGCTAGACACCACCACCCCCCCTGACCCCAAGCTACACTCCGCCGAACCACCACGAAACGATCACGTTGAACGATACCCATTTCGTCTTTAGTTTTATCTCTTATCCAAGGCCCAACGAATACTAACCTCACTTTTTTTTAATATTTGGTTTGAACAAAATTAAACGAAATAACTGCTTTTAAAACATACATCAGAGGGGATATTATTCTGTCTGAATTGTCTAAGACCTTAATGGACTTACATGGTTTCGGTACTGCGCTTTCCATATTGGTCGGACCTGATATCCAAAAAGTAATGGCCATGCAGCAGCATGGGCATCGTTTAAAAATGTTGTTCACAACTTTCTCGGTAACTACAAATCACCGGATTACAAACAAGAAATCGACAATTTTTTTTAAGAATTACCACAAGATTGTAGCTCGAATTTCTGCATTCAAATCTTGATTTTTTCCCACAAAACTTGGCGAGCGAATACGAGCGAAGGGCAAGGAGAGCGGCTTCATCCTTGTATAGCGAAAATCGAAAGGCGATACCCAGGATTTTGGGACGAAGGCATGATGAGCGACTACTCTTGGACCCTAAAGCGTGAAACAGATCCCAAGAAATATAAAAGACTCAGTTCAACCTCTGTTCATTTCGCATTTGTACTTTTCAATTCAATAAATGGCTCTTAATGGACAATTTCAGCCTCCGAATCTACCTTATAAACAGCTTTTGATTTCTCAGGTCCAAAACCGTGTAAACTTGTGTTATGAAACACTAAACTGAGAATTTACGCTCTTGTTTGACCGTCTATAAAGAATTGTGTAGAGATATTCTCAAAAAACATCCTTCTGACTTATAGATACCATAGAGACTCAATTCAAAACAATACCCTCAATAATTTGAAAAATTTCCATTCGGCTAAGAGCTTTTAAAAGCTAAAAGAAAACAAAGTAAATGGTTTTAAAAAAGTCGCCAAAGAACAGTTGAAACTGAACCCTTTCTTCAGAGATATCCCGGTTTAATTTCCTAGATCAGCTGAATTATGTGGGTTTTTGTATCCAATGTTCCATATCATTGTCATTTGTCCAAATATTTGTCTTTGATTTGCGTATTATTTTTAAACGCCAATTCGGTTTGCGAATTTCCCATCCACTTGTTCAAAGGTCTCTATTATGGTGGGGTTTAAATATAGCTCTATATCGTTCTATCCCAAGTACGAATATCGTGATAGTCAGCCAAGCACCAAGTGATCTAAATATTTGTTTATCTCTGAGCTTCGATTGGTTCCATTTGAATTGGATTATTGGGAACCAGGCCACAATGGAAGAGATTTATCTACATAAATGTCTAACGTATCTTTATAAGAATAATATTGATCTGCCAAACAATATAGCATACAAATATCTGAAGCCTGCTGAACTCTTTTGTTCACAAATATATCGCACATTTGGTTTGGGACTTCACAAATGATCTATCTCTGCCTGCGAATCTTTCATTCAATTTCTTAAAAAGTGGGTCTCTGTCGCAGAGGTGCTAATCAAACATTCCATTAGTCCTCGAAGGAAAGAAAAAGATTGAAATTATTACAGTAACCAAAGCGGGGCTCCTCCCCACACTCATTATATTTTTTTTGGGAAATAAACTTCAACAAAACAAAAAATTCAGCAAATTATCCTCATTTCACAATCACTGAAAGTAGTCTTCCTGCTGCAGCGTTGTGAACGTGTCTATGTAGTCCTCCGGATGATAGTCCAGGCTGTTGTAGAACACAGACGGCTCCGTAAAGTCCGCGGGCTTGTACAGGAACTTGCATATCAGCAGCCAGGGGAGCACCAGGAGCAGCACTTTCAGTTTCAGTATCAATTCCACCATCGGCATCAGAATTTCTCTGCGTTGTGCGCCCAGTGGCAGTGGCACTGCGCGATTCCGTCCGATGATGGACTTAAGTGGATTTAAGTGAATCGCTGTGCCGACAGCGGAACTGAAATGAACCGAATACCGAACTCGAAGCTGGGGCACGCCGCCTCGCTGTGTGTGCATGTGGCATGTGGGTCAGTTTGTGCAGCTGCCGCTGCTGGTCGCCGGAAGGTCGGATGCGGATGTTGGCAAAACTTTTGTTGGCAAATATGTGGATAACCCACATACGTGCATCGCATCCCCACCTGCTGTTCTGCTGATGTTCTGCTGCTGTTGTGTGGCATACTTTGAGGCGGCACCGGAGGGGAAATTAAGAAAAGAAATTGGAATGAAAGTTACTCTCGCGCACCGCAATGTTTATGCCCTTACCATCTTTATATTCCTTATGTATTTATTAGTTATAATTACACATAATCCATGTACTGATCGTGTTTTTCTCTCTCTATCTCCATCTGCTTTCAGACAGCCGTGTGAAGGACCATGTGCCGCTGACCAGGACCAAGGATCGATTGGGGAATGATGCGTCTGGCGAGGCTCGCGCAGAGTTTTCCGTTTAGCAAGAATGCGGGGCCAAAGGGCTCGGACCAGCCGCCGGCCAAGGTTGAGGGGCGGGGAGGCAGACCGCAGTCCGCTATATATATATATATCCACTAATGATAGCTAAATAATTGTTCAATTTGTATTTTTCAATGATTTCCCTTTGGTTTCCAGCATCGCGTCAGCAGCAGCAGCAACGGAAACGGAAACGGCAACGAGAACGGGAACGGGAACGGCCACACTGGAACAGCTGCAGTAGGTGGCATCTGCAACGTTAACGGCCTGGCAGCCAGTGGGGGCGGTGGAGGCGGTGGTGCCGCTGGAGGCGGAGCGGGAGTGGGTGCAGGAGAAGGAGCTGGAGGCGCAGCCGTTGGCGGCAGTAGTAGTGGGAACGGCTGTGGGAGTGGCAAGGGGCAAGGAAAGCGAAAATCAAAGCCAAGGACCAAGTGCTTCGGTGGCACAGTGTTTCGCTGTTGCCTACCTTGTCGCGGGGGCGGCTCCGCAGCCCCCGCCACAAGTCCGCCCCAAACACCCGCACAGACACCGGACGAACCCAAAACCAACAAAAACATTTCGGACACCACTGATCCACAACAGAAGTCGGGAGTGGGAGTGGACCAGGAGGAGGCCAAAAGGAAAGCCACCAAAGGAGATCATTCGATTAACGAGCCACACAGGGCAGCAGCAGGAGGAGTAGAAGGCGCCGCAGAGCGGCAGCAGATAACCAGCGAGTCCGACCTCGAACCGTATACCAGCGGCGAGAAGAAGCACTCGCTGGCCGACACGATCGGTGGCACATCGGTGACAACGCCCATATCGCTGAAGACTCTGATCAACGACGTGGACGAGGACTTGGAGCAGCAGCTGAGCGCCGCCGACATAGCCGCCGCTTCCCTGGCCAGCGGTCTAGTGGCCCGTCGCGCCGAACCAGAGACCCTGAGTGACGCTAGTGTCTCACCCACCGCAGTAGTCCAGCAGCTGGGCTCCGCCACCAGCACAGCCCCCAGCCTGATCCAGCCAGTGACGGTCTCCACGGCGACGACAGCAGTCGCTGTCTCAAGCAATCTGCTCACTTCAGTGACCACCCCATCCAGTCTGTACAGCAACACGAATCCGAATCCGAATCCAAGTCAGAACCAGAACCCGAACCCGAACCCCAATCAGAGCCAGGGCCAAAGCCAGAGCCAGACACAGCGCTGCAGCTGCCAGCCACAGACCTCACCACTGCCGCACATCAAGGAGGAGGAGGAGTCCGAGCAGGCCAACTCCAAGCAGCTGTCCCTGAGCAGCCAGTGCTCAGAGACCCTACCGCCGATACCAACCATCGCCGGGGCGGGATATTGCGGCAGCTGTGAGAGTGTGCACCACTCGTCGGCCACCTCGTCGTCCACGGGACCGGCGACAGCAGCTGGAGGATCTGGATCGGTCAGTGCTGGCCAGGCCACCGAATACGGCACAGCCTCAACTCCGTCGCCGCGCATCAAGCTTAAGTTCCGCAAGCCGCACAAGTCCTGCTGGTCGCGCATCGTCCTAGCACCCATCGGCTCCACCGGCGGCAGCTCCTCATCGGCCACCACCGTCATTGGCAGCAACTCGAACGAGACCCTTGCCTCCAGCGGCGGCAGCACTGGCAACGCCACCAACACCCAAAACAGCAGCAGCGTCAGCGTTGCGGCCCATCATCGCCTGACCTCGACGTCGGCCTCCGCTCTAGCCTCCTCGCATCCGAGCAACTCGCAGCTGCTGCCCACCAGCAAGATGCAGGCCGAGCAGGGCTCCATCGGGGACCTCCAGAAGTACCACAGTCGCTATCTCAAGAACCGACGACACACCCTGGCCAATGTTCGGTAAGTTCACATTCCGAAACATACTCTCTAAGTGCACTCTTTCAACACTCTAGAACTCAACATCCTAAAACTGTCCCTACAATAGTCCCATCTCTGCAAAGTCCGTGCTATCTGGCTTATTCCCTTCTTTATCCAGATCCAAAATCCCTGTCTCCGCAATCTAGATGTTTGGAGCACCTCAGAATCTATCTCCTTCTCAGTTACATTTCAATGATCCTTCAATTGCCAGCGGACTTGTCCTCATCCTCCTCCAAAGGTAGTCTTTGGAGTCTTTGACACGCCCAGCTTCCAATCGATGATAGCCATAATGAGAAAAACAGTTACCAGTTGTGGCTGTTTCATAAAGTAAGTGGGCTTATTGAGGCGAAGCTTTTGGCCATTTAAAGGTTGAATTTCGGTCCGTCCTGTGCCTGACGCGGTGCCTCTCCATCAATTAGAATCAATCAATCAATGTGCATAATTAAATTGCTCATTAGGCGCAAAGTAGGGAAGAAAGCAGCCGTCGTGAAGGCCACAGGCGGTCCCGCCCTGACTTCGGTGGAGGCGGACAGAAAAACAAATAAATCAACAAATCAAAACACACAGACCTCGCAGCAACATACATATGCTTCCATGTGTCATGGTCTCCTGCGGTTCTGTCTTTGCATCTCCACATATGCTCCAATCAAAAGAAAACAAGTTACACTTCGATTCGCTAAGGAAACTCCGGGTAAAATGTAAGAATCGCTAGACCAAAGGGATAGGGGCCTAGAGATGGTAGCATCGATTTCGTTGATATGTTTTTCTTGGCGATCCCACAGTCAGAAACCACCGCACATCTTAAGCCAGAACCAGACAGACAACAAATTTGTGAAATATTTGAAATATATATTTGAAATTTTTGGAGGTTTGACCCAATCGAGTCCTAGTAGGCGTTGAAGCAATTTATTACATTTCTGCCTTTACTCTGCAAAAACCCCGCTTCACTTTTACCATTTGATCCCAGGTCAGATTTGATTGGGTTCTGATTCATCCTTTCTCTGCTGGGAAATGCTCACGTGTTTAGTGACCCCGTACTACCAGTGCATGGAGCCCTACATGATCTTTACCGCATCATTGTGGATGCCATGAAGGCGACTAAGGACCCCAGGACATCCAAGACATCGAGTTCTGGTCGGCCGTGTGCAAGGAGGAGATCGAGCTGGCCATCGTGGCCAAGAAAGCCATGGACAAGGGTCTTACACTAGCGCGTTCTTCCAAGTACTATGCACTATGCTAATCAAACAGGACGTGTGCGAGGATGTGGATGCCTGGAGTCCTCGTCTGTGTGCTTCACGAGGCCGGCCACCTGTTGCGGACACGAAATCGAGGGTTCTGTTCGGACGTTCATCGAGGAGAACATTGGGTCGCTCCGGAGCCATGGTCGGCCATCGACCAGAGACATCTGCCACCGCTGGTCGAGTGCTTTCTGATGGCCTGGAGTCGGAGCTTTGCACTAATCGTCCTCTCAGAGGTCGTCTACAATGCGGCCCCAACCGATCGTTCCGATGGTTCAGGGGCCAATCTGAGGGGCAGTGCCTACAAGGCCCTGGCGAATAATTATAATAATACATGTGCATTAAATGCATTGCAATGAGGTTTTCTTGCCGAGAAATCTGACTGCGAGGCGTAAGACCAGCTATTTGCCATTCCCCATTGCCAAAGGAAGCCGCAAATTTGGGTACCGCCTGAAACTTACACAGTTGGATAGCTTCTAAATTGTTTTGAGAGGCAGTTTTTGGCAATCTTTTTTGCAAATTAAAGACCCACAATCTACCAGTGTCTGGCCTTCGCAAAGATAATAAATGAAACAACAAAATTAAATGTATTTGCAAAATAATCAGAAACAAACGAGTCCAATTGTCTCGCTGGCATTTTGGCAACGTTTGCACAAATGTTCCCCAGGTTGTTATTAAATTACCATACACCCAAGCACGTCAGACAAAAGCCAGCAGCACAACGTGGCTAGTACTACCGCTTCCACTGCCACTGCCACTTCCACACCCACTGTCACTCTCACTCTCATTGTCAAGCTGTTTGCGAATACGCCCCGTCTCTGTCCCCGTCCCTGTCTCCGTCCCTGTCTCCGTCCCCGTCTCGTGGGCGTAACCAAACTAGAAAATCAACAACTTTAACTAACTGAAAAGTTAGCCCAATAAACGGGGTGGGGGTGGAGGTGGTGGTGTTGGTGGGCTGGGGGCAATTAGCGACTCACAATGAAATCAATTTCCAGCTAGTCGAGACTTAATCGAATTACAAAAGTTAAGTGACAAAACTTTCAGTTACCACCACACAGGTTTCAGGTTCAGGTTGCTGCAGACAGGCAAAGAAAAGATGTTCAAGTTGATTTTATTTGTGGATTTTGGATACAATACGAGTATCTATGTATGTATCTATGCATCCATGTATTGGTCTGTGTGCGTTCTGGGGCTTTGTGCTGACAAGGACCTGAATAACTTATGATGATAGCCCTCCGAAAACGTTGTGGATAATTGAACAGTTTGTGGGGACTTATACTCCATCGACTTCTCTATTTTTATTTTCTTTCTGCCATTTTGAGCATGTGCATATCCGCTTTCCATTTGAACGAATTTCGAACATTTTTTGGTCATCGGTCAACATCACACAAAAATTTCAACCAAAAATGTTTTGTTTCTTGTTGATTTATGCTTGTTTTATGCTCTTTAAAACAATAAAAAAAAACTAAAAAAAAGTGATTAAATCATAAAAAAAAATTTATTTTGCATATACTCTTGTTGTTGTTGTTGTTGTTTTTGTTGCTGTTGTTGATGATGGAGAACCGAACACCGAACCCCTAACCCCGGGTTCTTCTGGCGTTGTTGTTGGCGCGACGTTTGATCCTATTGTTGTTGCTGGTGGCACGAGCAGCACTCCTTCTGTTGTTGTTGTTGGTCTTCCTGGCGCTGCTGTTGTTGCGCTTCCGGGCAGCGGTCTTCTTGTTGTTGGCTTTGTTGCTGTTGCCGCGTCTGTTGCCAGCCTTCTTCCTGTTGTTGTTCTTCTTCTTGGGCGGCGGTGGTGGTGGCGGTGGAGGAGCTGCCTCCGAATAGTCTTCCCCATCCGCAGAGCCATCGTCCACATCGGAGCTGCTGCCACCATCGTCTGTCACATCTGTGCCGTTGTCTCCACCCGACTGATCGGCACCACCCACATCGGTGGAGGAGCCACTGTCCTCTTCGCCCTCGGAAATATCGTCCAGCTCCTGGCCGACCACCAGGGCCAAGCACATGCCCAGGCAGAGGAGGGCTAGCAGCAGAAATCGCTTGTCGTACTTCATTCTCACACAGTTCGCTCCGTATTCTGACAATCGTCTAATCGCTTTCGCCGCATTTTATAGTCCAATGTCGCTTGCCAAAAGTCTGTTTGCCCACGCGAAGGTCGGGCTCGGGCCCCGAAACAATAGAAAGGTGATTGCTCTGGAGATGTGACTATACTTAAAACTTCAGGCTCTGGCGATAGCAACTTTGATCAATACTCGCGTAAATCTTGTATTCAATTCAAAGAAAAAAAGTAATAATTTGTATTATATTTTTGAGAAAGTAGAAAATCCTTGCAGCTATCGCAGAGCTCTCCCATTCCCATATAGTATAGATATAGTAAGCAACGATCTTCTCTTTGAGGGTGAGATCCACAGCAAAAAAAACGCGTAATTGAACGAATAATTCGAAGAAACCGAAAGAAAAGCAAACCTAAAGTCAATCAATATGGTAATAACCAGATGTCGCTAAGTAAACTTCAACGAAACCAAAAATAAAAATAATTTCAGCTAAAATAAAAGTAAGAACGCGCTAAGTAAAGCGCGTGGAGCGAGCCAAAAATGGAAGAACAGACCTTTCCAACAAACAAATATTTGTGGAAGGCCATCACCCGACACCTACGAATGGCTGTGGCTGTGGGTAGGGCCAAGACCCCGGGATCGTCGTCTGCACCTCTGCGTATATATAGGAGATGCATTGGGGCTCTCCGGCAGCAGTGTGCAAGATGCGCTTTCTCTGGCTGATGGGACTGATTGTGGCTGGGGCCCTCTTCGAGGCCTCTGCCTCCAAGTGCTCAAAGAGAAGACCAAGAACATGTGCAGGCAGGGAACCAACCAACGTCGACGACAACAGCGATTCGTCGGAAGACTGCGATGGCTCCGATGGCAACGAGGAAGAGGAGCCTTGTGGTGCAACCACCCACCCCCCGATAGTGGACTGCCAGCCGACCTGCAGCACCTGGTCACCGTCTGACGCCACGTCGCCTGGCACGACACGCCCCACAGCAGAACCAGCCACCCAGCCACCGTGTGGCTGTGGCAACGAGGAAGAGGAGCCTTGTGGTGCAACCACCCAGCCCCCGATTGTGGACTGCCAGCCCACCTGCAGCACCTGGTCACCCTCTGACGCCACGTCGCCTGGCACGACGCGCACCACAGCAGAACCAGCCACCCAGCCACCGTGTGGCTGTGGCAACGAGGAAGAGGAGCCTTGTGGTCCAACCACCCAGCCCCCGATAGTGGACTGCCAGCCCACCTGCAGCACCTGGTCACCCTCTGACGCCACGTCGCCTGGCACGACGCGCACCACAGCAGAACCAGCCACCCAGCCACCGTGTGGCTGTGGCAACGAGGAAGAGGAGCCTTGTGGTGCAACCACCCAGCCCCCGATTGTGGACTGCCAGCCCACCTGCAGCACCTGGTCACCCTCTGAGGCGACGTCGCCTGGCACGACACGCACCACAGCAGAACCAACCACCCAGCCACCGTGTGGCTGTGGCAACGGGGAAGAAGTTCCCTGTGGTCCAACCACCCAGCCCCCGATATCAGACTGCCAGCCCACCTGCTGCACCTGGTCACCACCTGTAACACCACTCCCAGACACGTCGCCAGGCACGACCCGCACCACTGCTGAACCAGCCACTCAGCCACCGTGTGGGTGTGGAGAAACCAGAGTTCGGAAGCACGGTCGACGCAAATCGTGTGGTTAGCGAAAGGGAGCACCCAGCAACACCACAAGGGTGGATCACGAACAGCCTGCGAAGCATCCAATCCTCCCAGGCCGATCCCATTAAGTCTTAAATGATTCAAAAATAATAAAAAACCAGATATAACAAATACTAAATGTATGAAATAGGCAGTAAAGATCCCCGACCATTGGTCTCTCTTTATGAGCATCTAGATACAGAATTTTTTGAGAGTAGTTCACTATTGAGCTCTCTCGTATGTTCAGATGTACATATTTTTGCACCCACATCAGTGGAAGTTTTACCTGGCCGCATCAGACTTTTGTTTCTTTTGTGTGAAACATTTAATGGAGCACAGCCAGCCCACTAAACACAAATTACACATGCAATTGTCCTTGTCCTTGGATGCTTGCCCCAGCCGGCAGTGCCACAGATGCCACAGAGCCACAGAGCCACATCGCGTGTGTTAATGTTGCCTATCCCATCAAAGAGAGAGCTCTGTTTCGTTTCTGTTTCTGTTTTTGCATTTTGCACGCCATTCTGTGTGGCCACAGCGGAAATGAACCTTCAGACAATGCTCTGGCTACTGTAGTGGAACCTTTTGTATTTATTTATCACAGGATGAGGCTTGAGGTGACTCGTCCTCGACTTTAAAGCAAATTTAAATAGAACAAAAGTGGCATAATTATTCCTTTAGTCAAAATTAACTCCTTAACCCGATTCTCATACATTCTTCTATAGATAAAGCGATTATAGTTCCAGATAAATCAATGCAAATTTTCGACTACGAGTTTGCTTCTATCCGAACATTCCGAACATTGCTGGAACAATCCACGACGCACTTAACTCTCTGTTCTTAAGTACTTCCTTGATACAAATGTGATTAAATCCACCTATTTTATTGCCTTAGAACTATTCAAAAATAATAACTTAAATATAGAAAACAAAAAGACATCGAGTTATCGGGAATTCGTTTGAGTCAGGATCAGTGCCAGGATTTTAGACCTCCATTTGTGGATCTAGAGCCAGACCTAGCCTAGCCACTCTTGTTGTCCTTCTTGTTCCTGTTCCTGTTCCTGCGGCGGATGGACCTCTTCTTGCCCTTGTGCACCTTCCTCTTCCAGTGGTGCTTGACCTTGGTCTTGCCCCCAGATGGTGTAGAAGGGGCGGCGGTTGTGGCTGCTGAGCTTGAGGCGGCGGTAGTTGTGGTGTCGGCGGTCGCGGAGGCGGCAGTCGTGATGGCGGATGCAGAGGTGGTGATGGCTGTGATACTCGCCACGGTGGTGGTGGCTGTGAGAGTCGCCACGGTGGTGGTTGCGGTGCCGGTGCCACTGGTCTGTCTGACCAGGACACAGCCGAAGAGGGCCAGGAGGAGGAGCACGCAAGAGTACCGCATGTTGCAGATAGTTGGATTGGCTGACAACTGATGCTTTTCCAGAGACCAAATCGGGGCTTTTATAGCTCAATAGATCTAGTTTCTATATCAGTTTCCAGCCGAAGCCTCTTTGGGTTTTACCCGAATCTGGAGCGACGTCTGGGATGGCACGCTTGCTAGGGCTTGCCTTAGCCAAAGTGTGTCAGTAATACGAACACTTCGATAACAAATAGCGTTCTGGCCAAACAACAATGATCTGTATAAAAAAGTCTATATTTAGCTAATTGAAAAATATACGAGCATGGCTTATATATATGCCGACATACTGGAAAGATTCTTCTTTTTGCCTCATTTTGCCTCTGACATGGCTTCAATTTGTGTTTTTCTTTGCTCTACAGGCTCTACGGTTGGAGCTCCAGCGATCTCTTAGGCCCTCCAGGAGGTAGCCACTGAAATTGTGAAACCATGTGTGTTGTTTGGAGTAAAAGCATCCCACATTTCATGGAATCACGTGGCAAAGACAAGGTTGCGGGGCGGGAGGCAGCCCCTCTTGGACCATCTTCATTGATGGCAACTGTTGCACACACCTCATCCCCATCCTCCCCGATTCTCTGCCAAATTCATTATCTTGATAAGTGCCTCCGTCTTCGCCTCCGTCTCCTCCTTCTCCAGTATCCTGTTCCTGTTTTGGGGCACTGGAGCCGAACGGACAGCAGCTTGCTGGCAATAATTCACGCCTGAGTAGATCTCCATTGTTGCTAGTCATTGAACTTCAGCAGAAGACGTGCGTAGGTGTGTGGCGATTATTTATAGTATGGATAGGCCAGGGAACGGGAGATAACCTTTCCGGGAACGGGTCAGGTTAGGCCAAAAATAACTCCCATTTAATCAATATCAATTTCCAGGGGGCACATCCAAATGGCATAATTATTAAAGTTATTTCTTTTTTTTTAATTTTGCAGTGTCTGAATTTTTTTTTTTTTTAGAAATACTGGATAAAAATATGATTAAAATTAAATTATTTTTAGTTTGTAGTTTTTTCCGCTCAAAATAATTATTTTCTTAAATGATTCAAAAGGTCACAAATGCATTTTACACATTATTATTTGTACTTTGTAGAAATGCTGGCAAAAAGTATGATTAAAAAAAAATTATTTTTTCCAAAATAATTATTATTTATAATTACCCTGAAAAACATCCGCTAAAATTTAAATTAAATTTTAAATGTTTTGTTCCTAAAATATATGTAACTTAGTATTATTATTATCCCTGATATAAATGTTTAAGCTGAACGTATGGCAGCTTTTGACAGCTTTTCTTGAGCTTTGATATATGGAGCTTTTGCCAAAAAGCTTAAAGCATAGCAGAGCTGTAGCCGTTGTTATCCATCCATCCACCACTACCAAAGCCTTCGTAAGCTTTCACCACGGCCAACATATGCTTTCGCCTAAGCTTTTTTCGACAAATTTCTCAACCGAATACGGTACCCTCCAAGCTTTACAGCTGCCGCCATCCGTGAAGCTTTTGGGATCCAACGGGAGGGAGAATCTCGGCTCTTACTCCGACATTTCGATGCAACCGGAAGTGGGATTCAAGGCCAAAGTGTAACTCCTGCAAGTGGGAACATTATGGGCCATGCTGCATCTGGCAGTCAAGGAGCCAGTCAAAGTCTTTGACATTGCTTTGTGCCCCCCGGTCCAGGAGCAGCTGTGGTCCAGTTCATGGCCAAGGCTGCACAAGAAGGCCGGCGGCAGGCGGCAGGCTGTGGTATGGAGCTCTAAGTGTGCAAGTTTTTGAGTTGATAGTTGCCTCTGCGGTGGTCAGAAGACTACCTGCAGCGCCACAGGTAATTTGCCATCAGGATTGCACAGGAAATTGCGGTTAAAGATGTAAAAGCATCAAAAGAGCCAACCAGCAGCACAGCACCCCCCACATCCTCGATAGGAAATATTTAATGAAAATTAAATCAAAATCGATACATGCACAACTTAATGGAACAACAATTAGTGCTCTGGAAATGGAACATATCACGTTTAAAGTAGAAGATATCCTGTTCAATATTAACATGGTAAAAGACTATCCATTTCACTCAAATATCGAAATAATTCGAAGAATTAATTGTTTTTGGTAATTGTTTAAACGCTAGGTAATCTTTTTTTCTTGGAATTCCATTCAAATCACAGTAATATTTCATAGTATTTTGAGTGTGCCCTCGAGGACATTCATGACTCAATTATCTGCCATTGATGTGTATTTGCCCACACTTTAAGTCCATTTGTAATGAAATCAGAAACTTAAACAAACATTTTGCCATATTCCAAGCGATTTTCCTTCCCCGTCCTCACACATTCATTGCCAATTTAATTAATCAAGAATTTTCACTTCCTTTTGATTTCTTTGCAGGTGAGTTTGGAATGTTTTGACAGTATTTTTCCCATAATCAAAGAAAATCGTAAGTGAAACGGATAGTTTTAATTACTCAATTGCCGTCTGACAACTGCAAATCCATACTATTCCCGTTCCTGGCATTCCTGCACAGGCAGTGATACCGGTACTCGTGTTGCACAAACTTATTTCAATGATTTTTGTATAAGGTGGGGAGGTGGGGAATCGCACAGGTGTAGATGGGGCAGATGGTGCATGACGTGGGGGTATGGTGTGACCCAGCAAAAGTCCAGCTTAATGAGGCTTTGCCCAGTTCATTAGGAAGCTCATCGGGGGCAGGGGGGGGGGCTGGGTCTTTGGTCTCTGGTCTTGTACGAGTATGTTTATTTTTTGTGTGCTTTGTTTTAGCCACATGGACCACGAACCCCCGCAAAATTGTCAGTCCGTCAATAATTGAGAGAAACACAGAGCAAGATAACCGCTAAAAGAGTGGAAGTACATGTACATACGAGTGTGTGTACATGTGTAGTTCAAAGGTTCTTCCTCGACATGTTCAATCAATTTAACTGACATTTCCCATCCTATATTCGCTTATTTCAATTATGTTAACTATGAAATGGATAGGGAACGATGGAGTGTTGGGGCTTTCCAGGTACTGCTGGGTGGTTCGACATGTGGCTTTTATTTGCTTTCAAGGGAATGCAATATACACGTATACCTGCCCAGTCCTTCTAAAAAGAAAGCAATTATGTCAAAAGTCAATGAAGAAGGAGTCAGGAAGAGGATTCATTTGGTGCTGTGTTTGAGGGTCAAAATGAGAATGAGACTAAAGATAAGAGACGTGGGAAGAGTTATGCATATTGAGTCCAGAAGTACCGACAAAGAAACTGATATATTATTCTTTGTCTTTCGCCTACCCATCAATTTACTTGAATTTTAAATCGGAAATAGGCCATATAAAAAGTTAATAAACTACCTATAACGAATCCAAAATGATCCAAACGTATTTCGCTAATCTTCTCTATCTCAGAAATATTAAAAATATTATTTTCCCCCTTTTGAATTTTGGATTAAATTAATTTCCAGAATTCAATTTCTCATAAAAATAAAATAAAATACACAGTCCTGGAGTCCTGGAGTCCCGGAAAGTGACTCCTGTAAAATTGTAACTGGAATATTATTTATTAATTCCAGAAATAATAAATTAAGAATTCATTTCATAAGATAAAAAGCAATTAGCAACGAGTGTAAGTTTTAATAAAATATGTGCAAATAGTGTAAAAACGTTTTTATGGTGTATGTATGGATTTAAAAGAGTTTAACCATCAGTTGGAATGTTCGTGGGAGCTTGGGAAACATCAAGGGTTCCTAGGTATCCAAGGTTAGCAAAACGATCCCTTTGGTGCAGGTATAACAGCATTTATTTAATTATAAAATAGCGATCTTTTGATAAAACAAACTGCAACCACTTGCTCAAACCTCCATTGAAGAGAGAAACGGAAACGGAAAAAACAGAGAAGAAAGCAAACACAAACTCAAATGTTGAAACAAAATTAAGTTAGGAATTTAAACTGCTTAGCAGAGGGCGAGAGAGAACGGGAACAGAGCTACAAACTTGTCACAAAAGTTGACAAAAGTTTGTATTTCTATCTGTTGTTCTAGTTTTTCCGAGTAGTTCCACTGCCGCTAATGCCACTGCCTCTGCAGCTGCCCCGGGGGGACCGGCCCTGCGGCAACTGTTGATAAATGTTTGCTAATTTGGTTAATCATACGCAGCGTTGCACAAATCCCCCTCCACTGCCGACCATTGTTGTGTGCACAATTCCTATGACTAATGCACGCCTGGGACCTGAATGCCAGAATGCGTTGAATGCCTGCCAGCCCTAAAACCATACGAATCTTCAGCTCTAACATCATCATCAGAATCATTATCATTGTCATTCCTGTTGCAATTTGTGCTGTTGCTGTTGCTGTTTCTGGTCCCGGACTTGGCTTCTGCTGCCTGATGTTTGCTGAGGGCTTCCATCGGCCACATAAATGCCCCACAAAGTCAGCCAACACAACATGTTAGTCTCTGGTCTGACTCTGGCTCTGGTTCTGGCTCTGACGGCAACATGTTGGCTCGGCCCCGGCACAGTGTCCCAAGTGCCATTGGACAGTCGAATAAAATATAACATTTACAGACCAAACAAAAAAACAAAACAAACAAAAACAAAAAAGTGAAACGTTTTTCCTTCGAAAAGGAAACTTTCAGTTGGCTTTATCTTTTGTTTGTTAAAAATGAATATATGAATATATTAAAATATTTTTTTTTAAGCTTAAAATATCTGTAATACTTAAATATTCCAAAATGGGTATTGAAAGTAATTGAATAAAATGTCCGACGGAGAAAGTGCAGCTGGCATCTTAAATGTTGTATTCAAAAGTTTACTTTAATTTATTTTGAATGACTCTTGCCCCAGGGCACCCACACATAGTGTCTAGTGTCAACTTGAGCTGCATTTCGATTAATGCAGTTTATTTGCCCGATTGCCTGTTTGAGCATCGGCTGCCAATTTCCTGGCTCGATTGTTTTTGTTTCTCCGAGCACACCGCCGCTTCGCGCCGTGCCCCATGCCCCGTGCCCCGTGCCGGGC